AAAAAAAAAAAAAAAAAAAAAAAAAAAAATCAAGGGAAAAAGCTTAACTATACACTGGACTGATATAAGCATCATTGCCAAATAGTCCTTTCAATGCTGAAGTGGGAATGGATCTGGGTGGAGTCCTCGGCTGGTCATTCACATGATGAATTCTACCATAGCAACCACATGATCCCAATCTGTTCCTCAAGCAGGGCAGAGCCCCCTTCCCACCTCACGGCCTTTACAAATGTCCCACAGTTATGCCAGAGTGCCCTTCACAGAATTCCAACCTTCACATGCTAATTCTATTAATCCTTAGGTGTCCAGTCTCCTCTCGGGAATGCTCGCCCGGTCTGAACTAGGATATGGCCTCCCATTTGAGCCCCCTTTACTGATTGCCCGTCAGGAACTTTGTTTAGTGTTTGATTTGCTGCGCTGGGAGCTGCGGCCGGCTGGCACCGCGCCTGTCCTTGGCTGTGTTCCTGACACAAGCTCAGGGTCTGGTGCACAAAAGAGAGTCATTTCAACAGTCCTCTGGACACCATCTTCCTTCCCAAGTCACAGTGGTCAGCTAACTTCAAAGAGAAAGGTGAACACAGATTGTCAGACTCACCAGCGTCAGAGAGTGAAACCTTCCAAGAATCGCTCTGGTTTCCGGAAGAATGAAGAAAAAGATAAACAAGCGTGAGCCTTTGTCATTGAAATGACCCGCTGACTTCAGGTTAAAGATTCTATCTCGGAATCCAGGGGAGAGGTGACTCGGCAACCAAGAGCACTTCTGTGTTCTCCAAGAGGATCTGAGTTCTGTTCCCAGCACTCACTCACATGGTGCCTAACAACGGCCCAAATCCAGTTCCGGGGCATCTGACACTCTGGAGACACCTGCATACACAAGGTACTCAGACATACGTGCACGCAAATACTCATACACAAAGAATAAAAATAAGTAACACCTTAAAATCCTTTGAATCAAACCTACAGAACACAATAACCTAGTATACGGAATCTGGTCCTACATCTCATCATGGAAGATGCTGTACCTCCCAGATGGACAACCTCATACGGTGAACAGGGGACAGGGTCACACTATGTAGCCCTGGCTAGTCTGACATGGATACCAGGCTGGCCATGGGCTCAGGGAGACCCACCTGCCTCTCTCTGCCTCCCCAGTGCCTGGATTATCATGTGTCTCTCACCTTTTCCATGCTTAGAAAGTTCCCTAGGGTGGAGGAGTAGCCACTTGGGATTCTCCCATCTTGGTTTCCCTGAGGCTCACACTCATGTTACCCTCCTTGTCCTGACACACGGTTTAGCTGGGCACTGCCTCCCTCCTTGCCCTGCTCTTCACACATTCCCAAGAAGTCACTCATGGCTTTCTCCTATCGCCACACGACTCTTTCCCGACTTCCCCTTATGCGCTCCTGGACTCAAGGCTCAAAGTGCATGATACTTAGGAGACTGGACTGGGCATCGACTCCTAAAGCTGGGAGTCTGGGAAAAGGAGAAGGGAGGTTAAATAAAGTAAAGTAAAACTATAGGCAATCCAGAGAAAAGAAGGGGGAAAAAATAGGGTAGAAAATCAAATAGGGTGTCAGGCAGTGGTGGCGCACGCCTTTAATCCCAGCACTCAGGAGACAGAGGCAGGCGGATCTCTGAGTTTGAGGCTGGCCTGGTCTTCAGATTGAGTTCCAGGACATCCAGGGATACACAAAGAAACAGAGAAACCCTGCCTCAAAAAACTAAAAAAATAAAAAATAAAAAAATAAAAAAAAAAAGGAAAGAAAAGAAAATTGGGTAAAATGGAGTCATTAGGGAGGGAAGAAGTGGGTGGGTGCCTCTCTTTCTTAATCCACCTCTTCCCTGCTCTCCCTCCAGCTAGCAGCTGCCTCCCCCCTGCTAAGGAGCGTCTAGGTCACTTCCTTGGCTTTTGGAGAAGGTGGTTTATTTGTTCCTGCTGCTTAAGCTCAAGGGATGATACAGTTTAAGATCTACAATTAGGTTCACTGTGGTTGTGGGAGAAAGGAGTGGCCAGAAACGTTAGTAGATGACAGGCTCTGGTTTTTTGTAATAAACATCTTAACAGCTTTCATTAAAAAAAGTTAGAGATGGAAGCTTCTGCTTAGAATCATTAATATCTAAAACAATACTGAAAATTACAGCTGTCACTGATGAAGGCTGTTTACCCCAGCTCTGTGTGTGTGTGTACACACACACACACACACACACACACACACACACACACACACACACACACACGTGCCCGCATGTTTTCCAACACACACTTGCAACTCTGACTATCTTGCATCCCATTTGATGGTATCGAACTGCCAGCATTCCACAGGCACCCACACATGAAAGCAAGTCCTTGATTTCAACAGCTTCGGAGTTAAACAAGAAAAGACTAAAATCCACCAAGTAAGTTTTCCCCAATGCTCCATCTACTTTCTTAGGTTTGTTTCCCTGGGGACCTTTCTGACCCACGGCTTTGTGTGCCCCACCCCCACCCCAGCCCCAATTAGGCATCGTTTTACCCTCTGGAGGCTGTGGGGGAGGGGGGGGATGAAAGCAGCCCCAGGAAGAACTAGGCTGGCTTCCTCCACACAATAGCCAGCCACCTGCACAGGGATTTAGTCCCCCACTTCCTAGTTCCTATGTCCTGGAGTCACTGCTGCCGGTCGCCCGGAGAACAAGAAGAAAGAACAAAGGGGCCAGGTGGCCAGGACAGAGGGAGGATGGGGACTCTTCATTGTCACACGCCCCCAGTGCAGCCTGTGGATTGAGGAAGCCAGGTTACTCCCACCTCAAATTGTGTGTGTGTTGAGACAGCTGTTGGAGCCAGAATAGGGAAAAGAAAATGAGTCATTTTTAAAGTCTTCCCAGACATTCGCTCTACAGCAGCAGTTCTCAACCTTCTGGGGTCAAATGACCCTTTCCCAGGGGTTGCACACCACATGTCCTGCCTATCAGATATTTACAATTCATAACAGGAACAAAATTACAATTATGAAGTAGCAGTGAGATAATTTTATGGCTGGTGGTCACCACCACATGAGGAACTGTATGAAAGGGTCGAAGCATTAGCAAGGTTGAGAACCACTGGTCCAGAGGAAGGGATACTTCTCACCATGAGATAGAGCCTGTCTTGAAATACTGTGGACTTTCCTCCACCGATTTAGTTTAATTCTGGCATGAAAAATTCTTCTTTCAAGAGCTGGGTGTGAGGGGCTAGAGAGATGCTCTTCCAGAGGACCAGGGTTCAATTCCCAGCACCCACATGACAGCTCACAACTGTCTGTTACTCCAGTTC